TGTTTTTTTTATATAATTAAGTTAATTAATGTAATTAAATACATAAAAAATTCTATGCTTTTCTTTTCAGGAGTTCGCATATTATTAGGTGTTGATGCAACAAATTTAAAAAGGCATCCAATATTAAAAACAGAATTATTTGACAAAATCATTTTTAATTTTCCTCATGTTGGTGGTAAAATGCGAATAGAAAAAAATAGAGAATTGTTGAAACAATTTTTTATAAGTGCATCAGAATTATTAAAAAGCAATGGTCAAGTATTAGTTTCTCTGTGCAATGGCCAAGGTGGTACAGCTTTTGATAATCCACCAAGACGTTGGGATGATTCATGGAAAGTCATAGAAATGGCAGCTTATGGAAATTTTATATTAACAGCAGTTGAGCCATTTGCATGGTCATTTTTTCAAAGTTACATTGTAACTGGATATCGTAGTTCAGACAAACAATTTCATTCTGCTGGAGCTTTAACTCATATATTTATAAAATCTGAACCACCAAATGCTGAAAACATTGCTCCTAAAAAGAAAATAAACTTTCTAGAATGTCATAGTAATAATTTTTCATGGAAAGATATAAATCAAATTATAACAAATCACGTATCACATATCTGTGGAATTAATATAGACACTCGTATATATACATTTGATATAACTTTTAGCGTTAAAGAAAAATTTAATTCAGCTAAATTTTATATATTATTATATAATCATGCAGGACTTATTATAAATGATGTCAGTTTCTTAGGATTATATAAATCGTTAAGAAAAGTACAAAAAAGAACTTACAGAATAAGTTATAAATCTAACTGTTTACCTTTATACAGAGAGAGAATTATTAATATACATCAAAATTTAATAGCAAATATTCTCGAAAGTAATTTAAATGTTTTGGTTGTAAGATAATATTACTACACACAAATTCAAATATACATAAAAAGTATAAATCAGTGTAATTCATAATTTAATAAATTGTTATTTATTTATATTTAGAAAAATATATTATAACTTTATTTTCAGATGCATTGTATTCATCAAATAAGGAATGTAATTGTACATAATTCTCGAAAGCCAAACATTTTATATGCTGTTACAATAAATATCGAAAAATATAAAAATAAAAACATATTTAAATCATTTTGTACTTCTGAGAAACTTGTAGAAAAAAAAAATATTCCCAAACCATTACGTAGAATAAAACCAAGGGCAAAAGAAGATACAGCTAGAAGTATTATTGATTTGAAGCAAGTATGAAATTAACTAATTTTTCCTCAATTTGTGTTTAATATTTACGGATATTTACCTATATCGATATTTAGGTAAGAGTAATTGGAGGAAATGGTGGAGATGGAGAAATATCATTCTTACAATTATGGTCAAATGAGAATGCTGGGCCAGATGGTGGAGATGGTGGACACGGTGGACATGTAATTTTTAAGGTCAGAACTAAATAATTTGTTAAAATAAATCGTTAAAATTTTATATTGAAGAAGAATATACATACAAAATGTTGCAGACGTCATCGAATGTTAATGATCTTTCACATTTAAGTTCTGTTATCATGGCTGAAAATGGAGAAAAAGGCTATAATAAAAGCAGTTTTGGGAAAAACGCAGAACATACTATAATACATGTTCCTATAGGTACCATAATACGCAATATGAAAGGAAGTATAGTAGCTGACTTGAATCAAGAAGGAATGATGTTTATTGCTGCACGAGGTGGTACTGGTGGTCATGGAAATGCATTTTTTAAATCAGATGTGCAACAATCTCCACGTATAAGTGAATATGGTGCAGTTGGAGAAGATTTACAATATGTATTAGAAATAAGTAGTATGGCACATGTAGGATTAGTAAGTAAAAATTATATCAATATCCTTATTCATTATAAGTATAACAGTATTTGAATATTCAAAAAGCTAACAATAATATTTGTATTATTTAGATTGGGCTTCCAAATGCAGGTAAAAGTACATTATTAAGAGCAATATCTAGAGCTAGACCAAAAGTGGCACCATATCCATTTACAACATTGAAACCTTATTTGGGAATGGTATTATATGATGACCATGAACAACTTGCAGGTAATCTAATGTAATTAATTAATCATTGCATTTTTTTTAAATAATAAATTTTAATTTTTAAGTGGCTGATTTACCGGGTCTTATACCTGATTCTCATAAAAATAAAGGTCTTGGTATACAATTTCTTAAACATGCAGAACGTTGCAAGATTTTATTATTTATTATTGATGTTAGTTCTAATAAACCATGGCAAGATTTTGAAATTTTGAAATATGAAATCACAGAATTTAATGTACAATTAAATAAACGGTTGCATCTTATTGCGGCAAATAAAATAGATTTACCAGGAGCAATGGTCAGATATTATTTTCTTTAATTAATATTAGTTAAGAAATGAATAATATTCGTCATAATATAACTAATTATATAATTATAGGAAAAATTGGGAATACTTAAACAAAAAATTAATTTACCAATTATTCCAATTTCTGCTAAAAAGGGTACAAATATATCCATTTTATTAAGAGAAATAAGAATACTGTACGACAAGGAAGAAGAAAATGAGCAAGAAGAT